AACTATTCTGTGATTCTATGATTCTATGTCATTGGCAGAGCTGCAGACAAAAAAAACCCAGTCACAAGTGCATTCCTACCTATGCCTTTTCTTAGCAGCTGTGTCCCATGTCCCAGTTGTGAAAGAGGAGGACCAAGAACCTTCCTCCATGGATAAGCATGGCTTTTGTGGAGGAACAAGGCTTTCAGTGCTTCTGCCAAAAGTGCTGAGCAGTGATGTGCAGGGGGAGTTCATGTGCAGCCAAAATGCAAGAGGCTGCTCGCTCACTCCTAAGCTACTGCTCCTGGCTGTTGACGCCAGCCGAGAGCTGCAGCAGTTGTGTTGGTCTCTTTTTAAGCTGCTCTTCAAAACAAAAAGCTACCCGCAATACATGCAAATGTATTCTGTCCCCATGCCTTGTGTTTCTCATCAGTCAAGCACCTCTGGGAGCCTACAGCTGACTGTAGGAACTACTACATGCAGAGGCTGAGGCAGAATTGGGGCCAGAATTGGGACCAGTAGGTCTTTATCACTTTCCATTTTAAAGCCAGCTTTTAGAGAATAAGATGCTGATTTCAGTGGTATGATTTGGTGGCATGTTTTCTTTAATTTGATCTTGTGCCTAGCCACCCAAAGGATCTACAGACTAGCTCTGCTCAGCAACTGCTGTACACAAGTGGTGACAAACTCGTGCCAAAAAAGCAAGCCTAAACAACTATAGACACTATGCCACACTCCAGTGCTATTTCTGGGACCACAGGCTCAGCTTTTTCAGGGGACCACCCCAGACACACACCTTGAGACCAGGAAGGTTATTTTGACCCACTGGGAAGTTTTACAGCCTCCACTGACAGTGCTCTTCATGCAGCTTTCATCTCTTGTATCAGGAGCTGTTCAGCTCAAGCCTTCCTATCTCACCAGACATAACCAACTCTCAGGGTAACAGCTCTAGGGGCTTTTGAGTGTTTTGGACCTCATGTCTTCTTGCTGGTGACCAATACAACCATCCAGTACTGGGTGCACATTCGCTGCGTGAGCTGTGCAGTGTCACGTTGTGCATCACCATGGTATTTCCAGTAGACCACCAAATGCAACATGCTGCAGTATTAAAATAACAGGAGTAAAATAGGCATAGGTGATTAAAGTTTTACCATGTATAGTACCTCTTGAGACTGAGCATCATGCTGAAGTCAATCTCTAGTTACTAGTACCCTCATTCTTAAGATGACAACATTATTAAGCTAAAAAAGGTGTGCTTTGAGCTACACGTTGGACTTGAGTTACACCTTAAGCTAATATCATGTGTCCTCAACACCCTCCAGTGGGGAGGACAACCGTGTTACACTGAGTGGGGGAGACAGCTACTGCTCCTTATTGCAACCCAAGATTTTTGTCAGATGTTAAGAGGTTACAGGTCCTTCGGGATGAACCTATGTACCACATTGGGCAAAATGCAGGAAATAATGTTCGCAGGCCTAGTTCTCCATCTGAAGCCAGGAAAACAACTTCAGAAAGTCATCACCTGTGTGTGCATGTCCCACCAAACGTAAGCGGGGCAAGGGCCCAACTGATCACAGCAAAGTCACAGCTTTCACTTCAGTCCTCATAGGCAAGCTGAATATTTTGGAGAATCATCTGAATCATAACAGAAGCAATACCGAAACAGGACCCTCTGTCACCAAATCTGGGAATCCTCAAGCTGCAGAAGCAATGAAGCTGGCATGGCTAAGGGCAGATAGCATTAAAATTCTCCTTACAGTGACACTCCTTGTATCTAGTATATAAATACATGGCTACATAAAATAAAACTGCCTGGAAGAGACCTCTGGAGCTCAACAAATACCATCTCCAGCCCACAGCAAGGCCAACTAAATGAGGTTGCTCCAAGATGGGAAGATCTCCAGGGCTGGAGGTCTGAGCCCCATCCCAGACAGTGAAAGCCCAGAGGGAAAAAGGCTCCTCTGACCTTCTGGCAATGCCTTGTCCTGCAACTTGTGCCTGTTGCCGTTGGGGCTGTCCCTGTGCCCTTCTGAGCAGAGTCTACTTCCATCATCTCCATGCCCTCCATCCTGGGAGCTGACTGCAGCTAGAAGAGCTCCCCAATGCTTTCTTAAACCCAGGCTGAAGCAAGGCACTAATCGCTGTGAACACAGGTGATGGAAGACTACTCATGGTTAACAGTAAGGTCCAGAGAGGGTCAGATCAGGCCGATACTGGAACAGTGACTACAGAGGACTTGAACAGAAGAAACTGATATGCTCAGAGTAGCCGAAACCATCCCATGTATCATTCTTGTTTTCCATACCACTTGTTTCCTTGTCTGATGGTTTGGGACACACCAAACATGACAAAGGAAATTGGGATGAGGAGGGAAGGGGAACAGCTAACTAGTGAGATTAGAACTAACATTCAGGCATTTGGTTTTTCTGTACATTCAGACCAACTGCCAAAATTTTGGGTTGATTTAAAATAAAATTATTTTTACATAATTCCCCAGTTCAAGTCTGTTTGCCTCTGGCAAGAACCAGCTCATTTCTTCACTGCCTCAGCTTTGCATTGCCGTAGCCCAGAAGCTGATAAGTTAAAATAGTATTTAATTTGTCTATTCCCAAAGACAAAGGGTGAAAAGGAATAAAAATGGCAATATTTAAGTTGAAAGCACGATGTTTTCTTGAGGTATCACCCACGTGTAACTCAAGACAGAGATGCAGTCTAAATACCTCCTTCCCTTCCTGGTCTTGAAGACCTAAATAAGAGTTTTTCCAAGCCTGGTTTCAATCTGGACATCTTTCAGCTTCAGAGAAGAAAGGGGACACTATGATTATTTAACTAAGTAATATGAAGTAATGCAACCTTAATACACACACACAAATTTAAATTCCGCTATTTGATAAAATGTTCAAGAGAGAAACTAGAAGCAAAAAATATCAGAAGGAAGGAATAAAAGATCTTGTGAATATCACCTCACACTACTTTAGGATTCTGTACCCCAGAGCAACTTCCCCTCCACCCCTTCTTTCATTAGCACCCTTTCCCTCTAAATTGAATCTCTTATAAAGATATTTTGTATGAATGTTAGGGAGGATTGCTTAGGAATTAGCCAAGTAAACAGAAATGATGTCAATAATCCCCATATGGTTGCTAGCCAACGGATAACCAGAAAAATACCAAGATGAAAATGGTAAATGTGTACAACATTCACAAATAAAAACTGTTTTAAATATTCCACAATTTGCAATGAAAAACATTTTATTAAAAGTATTTAATTTTCAAACTCCCAACTGGTCACAGTGAATGACATTAAGATCCAGCAGTGTCTTCTCCAGGAAAACAGCAGTACGTGCCCAGAGTACTGAAAATTCTGTTGTTTTACACAGTTGAAAAAAGTTTCATTTTTAGCAAGTAAGATGGCTCATTATTAATGTATAAAAACTAAAGGCCTACCTTCTGAGATTTGCATTATCTTAAACATGAGATGAAAAGTGTATCAGTGATCCTAACAAATGCACTGCTGGCCACATAAGGCTTAAAAGCTTTTTATTTTCATATTTATAACAAAAGTTAAAGTTCCCCATGTGTCCTTCTGCTGCTGCTCCTCTAATACATTTATATTAAATCCTACTGGCTGCTAACATGGACAAAAATACAAGGAAAGAAGAAAAACCCACATAAAGAATACTGACAGGATAGTCACCAATGTTATCCCCTTGACAGAAACAAAGAAAACAACACTGTTAGGAATTAATTATAGCACATTCAAGTGAGGTGGCCAGACAGGTCAGTAGAGAGAAGGTGATGCAAACACACCTTTTATTCTCCTGGTAACTTAGCCATTAAACTATTGTGTGATCATGGCTCATAACTCTCTACCCTAGTGTGGAAAACATGACCAAATGTTCAGCACAGCTGCCATGAACCTGGTTAAACATTAGACATTAATAAAAAGAAACACAACATTTTAGCAGTGGATAGAGTCTATAAAAGAATCATTGCCTTGTTAGCCCCTTAGTGCTTCCTATCCAGTGACTGAAATGCAGATTGAAATACATTGCAGATAATGGTTGCACTCATCTTACAAAGAAAATACTGCCTTTAAATAGAAATGCTGCATATGCAAAACAAACAAACAAAATCTTTTACCTGGAATATTTGTACAATAATTTAATAATAATTTCAATGCACATGCTAGAAACAAAACAAATGAAACCCCCCAAGGCTAATGAATGTAAGATCTTGTGAACAGCACCAAGAAATCCTCTTGGATATTTTTAGGATTCTGTCATCTAAGAAGGTAAAAAAAGATTGTATGTGCGAAAGATTTTTTCAATGCCTGTGGTCTTTACTCAGATTCAGATATGCATTTTTAAATTTGAATCACATAATATTGCCATTCTGTTATTTGGAAAGTGCTATAATGACAGCTATAGGACAAAAGTTATCCATGAAAAAACAGTTTATTGAAATTAAACATTTTTAAAGCAAGCTCAAGTTTTAAAACAGTACAGGCCCTTCAAATCCCAACTTCGACTAAAATAAACAAGGTTAATCTTCCAATTCTGCACAACAATTTAAAGCCATTATTTTCCTTTTTCCATCCCAGTGTCACACTGGACATCGCAATGCAGATCTGTATATCACACACTTATTTCAATCTTCCACTTTGTGAGAGTGGTTGTGATCCATGGCTGTGAAGAACAGGCAGATCATGGCTGTGATGAACACGTGCACTCCCTCATAAAGTAGTTTTGGCGAGAAGACGCTCCATATGAACAGGTGGTAACGCAGACCTGTCACCAAAACTATGTATACGGCAACTGGAAGTGAACGCATTAGAGCATAGCAGAAACAGCCGTGACCCACTGCTGCTGAATTCCTGGTAACAGAAACAGAGGAGTTCATTCTCAGGCAAACAGTAAAGACCTAACAATTTCTCTACTTTAGTATTATTTCATAACCAAAGAACACTCACAGATCTCCACTTTGTGTTAGGATACTGATTATGGATGTAATGATGTAACTAATAAAGCTTGTCCATATCACCTCTGTATATCTTGTAACATGTAAGTACAGTAAGTGTAAACATAGCAACTGCCACCGCAATAAAGGCACCTAGTACTCCACCTCACACTTAGAAGGTTCTGTGCTTTAATATACTTTGTTCTAGTTGTTAAAGTCTCCAGTAAGCAATTTCAAAATAGCTTCATCTCTTGTTGGCCCTCCAGTGCCTTTCACAGTATCTGGATTGTAAAAGGCAGAGAAGAAAGACATCAGTACTATTCAGAAAGCTGCCTAACCTGTACAACGGATAATCAAATGCAGCCTGCTCCCCTTGTACAGGGCATAAAACTTGTCAGAGTACACTGCTGCCCACAGCCAGTAACATTGTACAAAGCAACATAAAAACTGTGCTATTAGCATACTTTGCAAAGCTAGTTAAGGTATCACTCTCCAGAGAACACTATATTCTTAGGCCTACATGAGCGATGCATTCCTGTCACAGCAGATTAGCTCAGCTTGGTCAGCTGTATTGCTGGAAATGTCTGCCCCATATATAATCTACATGGTCCAAACCTGCCGCACTGAGGTATACTGGTGGGTGGCAGGAGTCAGATGGAAATGGAAGTGAAAGGGTTTTCTGCGCTTTGATTGTTCTTCCCGCCCCAAAGTGCCAACTCACAGCAATGATGCTGGGTTGGCAAGTGTCCACTCTCCCCAAACCACATCTGCAGAGACTAATTTGCACCAAATTCAGATGCTTACCTGTTCAAACAAAAGGAAAGAATAAAGCCATTTCACTGAAATAATAAGTAGAACACTTTCCTCTCTCCATCAACATATTTTACATCATCAGTTCCCAAAAGAACACATCGGCTGAAAGCAGAAATGATTTACACTGAAATCCTGATCTGAGAATCTGTTCTACTCCTCCCAGATTTTAATTCTGATCTTGCTCCAAGTAATAAAAATTTAAGATGATAAGCACTTCTGTGAGATGTGAATTAGTCACTTATGACTAAGTAAGCTACAGAATGCAGTATTTTACACAGTAAAACTATTAAACTTATTATTTATAAACCAAAATAATTAGGATACAGTTCTTTTTCCAGCAAAGTCAAGAGCAAAATTCCCAAGGCTTTCAGTGGAAAGAAGAACAGGTCATGAAAGCAGAGCTGAAAAATCAGTTAAGAACAGCAGGTGTGAACGATTGCAAAATATACATTCATTTCACAGAAGACTATTTCCCTAGCTGCTTAGCCAAGAAAACTGTGGCTTGTGAGTGAATTAGGCTGCTCCCTGCTTCTGCATAACTATTTTAGTCTTCAGTGAGCTTGTGTAAATAACCAGCTTTATGTTTAATAACCGATTTTGTTGACAAGGATTAAACCAACTGTAGTTCACTCATTCTTAGCTGTTTCATGCGGTATGAGCAAAACGGTATTTGTAGTTAGATGATACAATTGAATAAACAGAGGAAATGGGTTCTGAGTCAGACAGGCAAACAAGTGATTTTTAAACCATTTTCTGGAGTAAAAAAATGCACTTCATTGACCAATGAGATGAAGGCTACCAGAGGTAGAGGCTATCACATTTATTAAGCTCAATGACAGGATTTTCAAGGGAATCCTGAAAGAGGGAAGTGAGAGTATCCATGAACTTACATATCCAGCTCTTTCAAGAGCCCCGCATTTTAAACGTAAATTTCAGTTCATACCTTTTTCCCTAGTTTGTGCTCACCTAACAACACATTCAGTTCCCTATTGTGAGAAGGCTCCTAGGCTTAAATCAGTGGTGTTAAAATTTAAAAAGTTCGTACTTTTTTAATTATGAAGAAATTAAATTGGAAGATTATTATATTGGAATATTATTGGAAGATAATAATGGAATATTATTTTGAATAGAATTTCTGTGCACTCACTTCTTTGGCTCAAACATTAAATAGACATAATATTTTAGATACTAGCATTTTAAACTGGAATGACAGCAGACTAATCTTTACTAGCAACATTTAAATTCTGCATTTTCATATTATGATTACTAGCAAAGAATCCCCAAGTCAGTATGTAAATGGTACAGTTCTTTCTATATTCTGATACAGTAAAAATAATGAACTGTTTTCTGCTTATATAACACCTTTACTTCCAAAAGGTCTCAGCACTCTCTTCATCTCTCAACAAAACATAGACACCTACCTGCAGAAGGAAATCTTGGACAGTTTCACTGTATAATGCAGCAGTGCAATTTAGAGAAGGCAACAAAAGCATACAGTATTCACAAAGTTGAACTGTTAATGGGGCTCAATAGGAGAATAATCCCATGTATTTTGCAGCTGGTATGAGACCTCCCATGTGTGTTGTTGCAGCAACAGCACCAGAATGAGTGAGCCCAAGCAGTTAGACCTACTCAGCTGTTCTGATGCTGAGGCACAGCCCCATGCCGCCTTCTTGCTTCTGCTAGGTACCCATTTGCTGAATAGCTAAGAGTAATGACTTTATGCACTCCTGCTCATTCTACACACACAGAGTGGCCACAGGGTACAGGGCATAGGGATCAGGCTGCTGCTGCTGCTAACATGACCAAGGCAATCCAGGTAGTTCAGCTGGTTCTCGAATATTCCAACAGAAGTCACAAGGAGAGCACAGAAAGCTAGCTGTAGCATACCACTCATGTACCCTACCATTTATGAGCTGGAGCAGCCAGTAACTAATAACCTTGCAATCTCTCAGTGCTGTTTCAGTGAAAACAACAGAAGATTACAGGACACATCTAAAGCATAAAACTGTAACTGCTCCATACAGAGCTGTCTCTACAGCAGTCAATGCCTTTTCTTGTTCAAAGGAGAAGAGCATAGATGGATGTAACCTGTACACACTACCATCATGTTCTGACAGAACCAGCCTCTGCGTAATGCAGGAGTTAAAAAAAAACCCAAGTACCCAACCTCTGATATTGAGCTCACATATCTAGTTAGCTTCTTTGGACTTGAATGAGAAATCCAAATGCTTTAAAGATGACAAAGCATATCCAAACTTCGTATGAGACTGATGCTGAAGATTGCTAGACCCAGAAAAGACAATGCCTTAGAAGAATTCTGAAGCAAAGAACACTAAAGATTCACATCACTGAACATGCTATATTTAGACTGCAAATACTCTAGAGCACATACTGGCTTTCAACAAAAATCCTCTCTTTTAATTGAATATTTAATAGATAGAAAAATATGGCCAAGAAAGTGTGCTTTTAATAGATTTTCTGCTGCTTTGCATCTCCTAGATCTAAATGCCAATAATTTGTCAACAAATCTTTCACCTCTCTGTTTCTAAGGTGCTACTAAAGCATTAATAATACAAGGTAATAAGATGAAATGGTAATACGAGGGTAATACAAGGGTAATACAAGGTTTATAAGATGAAAAAACTATGATGCCAAAAACATGAAAGAAAAAATGCTCTTTTCTTGTAAAAGCATGTCTCCCAGTTACGTAGAATACTTGGCAGATGGTGGCACAAGTTTTGTAGTTTAAAAATAAAGCAAAAAACCTCTGCAGGCAGCCCTACAAATGCTTCCACAAGGAATTTTAAAATACACTACTTTACATTGTTCCAACGTTTGTTCTAACCCACCATATTAAATAAACATTTTAGAAATATGCAAGCATATGAGTGAGGAATACCCCAGGATTGTCATTTTTCTGGGACTGGGGGAGGGAGGGCCAAGTCTATAGGGTTTCAGTATGAAATATGCTGCATCCTTTCAGTAAATGTTATCCTCCAGCATTTCTGCCCTTCCAGCTCCTCTTTTCTAGCTGAATATCACTGCCGAGATTACCTCTTACAGGGATATTGAATTTGCATATTTGAAGGCAATTTTACTGGATTAACATTTTTTACTGTATTAATGGCACTTTTCATTCTAGGGTTTCTGCAGTTTCAGTTTGCAAAATCTCCCTGTTTAGTGACCTAGGAAAAATAGTTGGCACTTTGTTAATCTGTCCTGTTTATATATTAATAAACGGTTGCAGTCAGAAACAAATCCTGTAACACTCCAACTGTGTCTGTGACATCTTAGAGTACCTGAAATCTACAAGAAATTCCCCTGATCTAAACAAATACCAATTAGCTTAGCAGCAAGAGCAAACTTGCTACGTCTCTCCCACATGCCACATTTTCACCTCGTGTAATTCTTGCAGTGCTATTTTAAATTGTAGTGTACAATCCTGCATTGTCATGGAAAAACACTTTTTAGCAATTTTTAGCAGATTCAAGGGAACCAAGAGTCCTTTGGAAATTTACATGATCAACTCTGTTACAGGCTGTCAACAGAACAGCATTAATTCTAGAGTCACAATTTTTGAATACCAAACCATATTAATGGACAGATGTCAGAAAGAGTAGTTGGCAACCACGTAAAAAAGTCATTAAGTATATTCTACAGCCAAGGAAATGAAAGAACTTGGGAATCACCATTGGTTCTCCTATGCATCCTGTTTCCCAGTAAGAAAGGTGGAGAAGCTACAGCTAATGACTTGAGCAAAGTCAAATGTCCATGGCAGTAAGTTACAGTGTACTGTACTGTAGCACAGTCACGCAGCAGAGCTAACTCTTTTCACTGGCATCTACTACCAGCTAACCTGCTTAGAACAGAGCTCTATCTAAAACACAGGGCACATATTGACTAAATTCAGACTCCTTTTTTCATTCTTCAGTCAGGCTTGGCCCCTGAAAATAGTTCCAGTGGAACTCTCTAAACTGGATACCTAACAAAGATTATATTAGATTGCAAGTAGGAATACGATTATGCTGGCATTGCGCCAGAAGGTCTGAACAGCCACTCTGTATGGCTACCATCACCATTTAACTAGGTCAAGCTGTACCT